AGGCCTTAACCCATCATACAGTAGAACCCTTAACCCCCATCATAGATAGGGCCTTAACCCCCATCATACAGTAGGACTCTTAACCCCCATCACTGGTGGGGCCCTTAACCCCCATCACTGGTAGGGCCCCCTTACATCATACAGTACGACTCTTAACCCCCCATCCATGCGACTCTCCCTTACATCACATAGTAGGGCCCTCAACCCCTTCATACAATAGGGCCCTAACTTCATCACACATTATGGCCTAACCCCCATCATACATTATGGCCTAACCCCCATCATACATTATGGCCTAACCCCCATCATACAGTAGCACCTTAACCCCCTACATACAGTAGGGCCCTTAACCCCATCATACAATAGAAACCTTAACCCTCATCCAATGGGGCCTTAACCCATCATACAGCAGGCCCCAAACCCCATCATACAGTAGTGCCTTAACCCCCATCATACAGTAGAATCCTTAACCCCCATCATTACAATGGGCCCTTAACCCCATCATACATTATGAGCCCTTCCCCCACAGTAGAGCTCTAGCCTTCACCATACAGTAGAGCTCTTAACCTATCATACAGTAACTTAACCCCATCATACAGTGGGCCGTTAACCCCATCCGTAAGGCCCCGTATGAAGGCCCCTATAACGAAAAGTTCGTCACAAATATTAGTCGGCGGGATGGTGTCCACAGGAGCACCGTACGATGGATTAGGCGATACTCAACTGGTGCTACAGGCGACAGGTCTCGGGCTGCCGTTCACGCTGCCCGACCAGGTTGAGTGGTTTGTTGGTAGCATAAATTAATGTGGCAGTATACAAGTATCACAAATAATTTTTGTTAACAGGAGCTCCTCATATGTCATACTGTCTATTTATCACTTCCCGACCTTATTTATAACGGTTTTGTTTCGCCAGACCAGGCCATAGTAGCTGCTCCGCGGGATTACAGGGCTGCCAACATCTGCTCGACCTTCCTTTCCCAATACCTATCAGTCACTGGTCTCAAATTTGCTCACTAGTATGCACGAGACTTTTTTGTTCTTGAGTGTACCCTTCTTCCCACTCCTCACATATGTACCCTTAAACCCCCACTCCCTCCACATATACCCTCCTTTACTCCTCATATGTGCCCTTAACCCCCACTCCCTCACATATGTACTCTTAACCACCACTCCCTCACATATGTACCCTTAACCCCCCTCCCTCACATATGTGCCCTTAACCCCCACTCCCTCACATATGTACCCTTATCCCCTCCATGTGCCCTTCCCCCTCTCCCCATATGTACTATTGCCCTTAACCCCACTCTCACATATGTACCCCTTAACCCCACTCTCACATATGTACCTTAACCTCCTTCACATATGTATAACCACCCTCCCTCACATATGTGCCCTGCTTACTCTCACATATGTACCCTTAACCCCTCCCTCACATGTATCTTATTTATCCCTCCTATGTGCCATTCCTCCCTCCATATGTGCCTCCTTCCTCCACTCTCCCTCATATGTATCTCATTCCCTCCTCCACACATTATCTTAACCCCACTCCCTCACATGTGCCCTTGTTATTTATCTCCACATGTACTCTTATTTGCTCCTCACATATGTCCCCCTCCCTCACATATGTGCCCTCCTCACATATGTGCCCTTAACCACTCCCTCACATGTGTCTTATACCTCCTCCTGTGTGCCATTACCCACTCCCTACATGTGCTCTGCTTCCCCTCCCTCACATATGTGCCCTTAACCACCACTCCTCTCTATCATACCCTCCACCCATATGTATCTCTTCCTCCCTCACATGTCTGCTTATCCCTCTGTGTCTTATACTCACTCCCTCTGTCTCTTAACCACTCCCTCACATGTCTTATATCCCCTCACATATGTGCCATTACCCTCCCTCCATATGTGCCTTAACCACCACTCCTCCACATATGTGCCCATATTTACTCCCCTCACATATGTACCCTTAACCACCACTCTCTCACATGTGCCCTTAACCACCACTCCCTCCACATGTATACTTCACTCCTCCATGCCATGCCTTATTTATCCCTCATATACATACTTCCCCACTCCTCACATATGTACATATACCACTCCCTCACATATGTGCCCTTAACCACACTCCCTCACATATGTGCCTCAACCACCATCCCTCATGTGTGTCTTCCCTCCTCACATATACATATTTATCTCATGTCCTCCCTCACATGTGCCACCACTCCCCTCACATGTATCCTCATATGTATGTATCTCACATATGCTTGCTCCTCCATGTCCCCTCACATGTGCCTCAACCACCCCTCCTCACATGTGTTCTTATACCACTCCCTCACATGTATCTTAAGCCACCCTCCTCCATATGTGCCTTAGCCACCTCCTCACATATGTGCCTCCAAGCTTCCCACTCCCTCCATATGTGCTTGTCAACCACCCTCCTCATGTATCTTAACCACTCCTCACATGTATCCTGTACCTCCCTCTTGTGCTCCTTATCCTCACATATGTACATATTTATCCCCTCACATGTGTGTATGTACACTCTCACATGTTTCAATACCCTCCACTCCCACATATGTCTGTACCCTCCTCCACATATGTATGTACCCACTCCTCACATGTGTGCCCTTAGCCACCACTCCCTCCATATGTATCTTAACCACTTACTCCACATATGTGCCTGCCACCCCACTCCTCACATGTATCTCCATTATCCTCACATGTGTTTTATACTCACATGTGCCTCAGCCACACTCCTCACATATGTGCCCATGTACTTCCCTCCATGTGTGCCATCACCCATCCCTGCATATGTGCCATCATACCATCCCTCACATATGTGCCCTGTTACCCTCCTCACATATGTGCCTTAACCACCCATCCTCATATGTGCATGTACTCCCTCCATGTGTGCATGTACATCTCACATTATGTATGTACCCTTCCCTCCTCCATGCATGTACCCCTTAACCACCCTCCTCACATATGTATCTTAGCCACCACTCCCTCACATGTGCCCATATACCCACTCCCTCATATGTGTATACCCACTCCTCCACTGTGCATGTACCCTCCCTCACATGTGTGCCATGTACACTCCCTCACATGTGTGCCCTTAACCACTCCTCATGTATTTTATCCCTCTCTGTGTGCCCTTGAACCATCCTCACATATGCCAGCCACCCATCCTCACATATGTCCCTCATCATATGTACTAATCCCTCACATATGTATTTTATCCCTCACATGCTTTAACATCAACCACCCACTCCTCACATATGTGCCCTTAACCTGCTCCCTCACATATTGCCACCCTCACCTCCCCGATGTACACTCTTGCTCCTCCCATGCATAACCCTTAACCCTCCCTCACATTGTGCACTTCCACCACTCCCTCACATATAGCCCCCCCACTCCCTCACGTGCCCTTAACCCTACTCCCTCACATATGTACCTTGACCACACTCCCTCACATGTGTGCCCTCTCCCTCACATATGTACCCTTGCCACCACTCCCTCCACATATGTACTCTATACCACTCCCCTCACATATGTACCCTTAACCACCCTCCCTCACATATAACCCACTCCTACACATATGTACCTCCCCTCACATATGTGCTCTTAACCACCACTCCCTCACATATGTAGCCCCTGTATGTACCTCCCCTCACATATGTCTCTTAGCCACTCCCTCACATATGTGCCCTATTTCCTCACTCCCACCTTATTGCTCTTAACCCTCCCAGTTACTGATTGTCAACCTTTCCACTAGTTGTTCTTCCATATCATTATTCTTAGTTTCTGCTTTTTTTTCTTAATCTAACAAGATAGTTTATATATTTAATGATGTGTTACTTTCTAATCACCCTGCAAGGTTTATAATTCCATTTCAAACATATACTATTCACCTGCAACAATTAAAATTTTATATGCAAAGTGATGTGGTTACCACCAAGACATGAATTCTTTAGAACATAATAAAGTAAGTTACGTTAGTACCTCTCGCCATATGATCAGACTATATTACCAAAGAGGTATATAAACCTCAATTGTAAGGATCTGTTTCAGAACGCATGGTGAGTACAGTACTGTACACAACAAAAAAACTGAATTTATAACTGAATTAATACAATTACCATTGACCCAAAAGAAAGAAATGACTGACTTGCCATCAATAGCCATCATCTTAAAAGAATGCCTTCCTGTCCTAAACACAAAAACAGTTAAATTGGTGCCTTTCACACTATGGAAGCCTTTGCAATTCTCATCAAACTTTTGTAGCTCACCTAGTCCCATAAATCATACAGATTTTCTGAACACATTTCATTTTTCTCCTATGCTATTAAGTCTAGTACTGTACTGTACAACATAAATATATGAATTTTTCTAATTACAGCCCAGTCCTTAGCATCAAAGAAACCTAACAAACTATAAATCTCAACAATATTCATAACCTAAACCATCTTCTAGTTTTACTTGTTTTATAAGTCTCAATATCCTAATTATACTTTGTCTAAAATACATTATCTCTCAGTACTTTTTGCCTTTCTGGCTGCACACATTATCATGACTAAGCCTTACCTGGTATTCTGCTGAGCTGGGGAGGGGGGAGGGGGATGAAAAAACAAATGAACATACCTCAAATTTGAAGTTTAGTCCTCCAAAATTCTAAGACACTTACCTTAATAATTCCTGAAAAGCAAAGCAGTGATTAGTTGACCTACCGTGTGCCAGGGATTATTGAGCTGCAGTCTTCTTTACCGTTCAAAAATCTGCCACTCCAAGTGCGTTTGTCAGTTCCATCACCAAACCACTACTATACTGAACTAAAGGAAAGGTCAGTATTTAGTGCTTGGTGATAGTTTGTCTGGTAATCACTAAACAACAACAATATCAAGTCAAGTATAGTTTTAAATCTTGGCATGATAATGGTGTTGTCAGAGACAAAACTCAAGACTCGCCTTTCCCCACAAGTGTTACATCCTCGCTCACCTGATCAATGATGAAGTTGCGTCTGCGCTTTATCGAGTTCAACAGCTTGTTCAAACATTTGGTGCAACGCTCAATCAACACCTCCCAACGGCCAGCATAGTTAACCACATGGCATTAACCTTCATCTTGTCTATAAGTGTGTTTGTTCCCAAGACATTGTACTTCTTCTCAACACTTTCTTTGCAGTACTTTTCCACCCAAGTAGTCTTACTGGCAGCTGGCAGACCAACCATCATGATCACCTGAAAAAATAAAGTTTCATATATAATATATATATACAGTAGGGATTCAGTATTCACAATTTTCTTTCACGATTTCACTTATTCGTGGCACCTCAACAAACCAAAATTTTAGTAAAAAACGCCTAAAAGCTTCTGTGTTTCTATTAAGATTCCAGCAGATGCACACACTTACCCTACAGCTAGGATCTTCATAAACTAGCAGATTTTCAGACCTGTACAGCCTTTACTGATTTAACACTTTAATATGACCCGATAGTGGTAATCTTTTTAATAATTAAAGTATGAAATTGAGAAGGCTCCAATCCCCTACAACGAAATATTGTATACAATATGAATGCAGAAGAAAGTTAAGTAATTGCGATAATTTTTCTAGAACCACGCCCACCAACCCCTAGTACACCTCCCTCCGGGCCAACAACTACGGTAGTAAATAAGTCTATTTTCCTCCCTTAATATGGATGATCCAGATGACACCGCAGATTCAGATGTTTTGAAAAGCAGTAACATACAGCTTCCACCATTTGGTATACTAACAAGTTTAGTTCATATATAACACTAATGGAAATGTTGCCACTGCCACCACTATAGTACTTACTTTGCTTGTCACTTGAATTATGTGACAATCTGTCCAGCTATGATACAATGATATAAGTTATTAAGGTTGTCACCTAGGTTGCGTAGTTCTGAGGTGACTAAAGAGGCAGATACGGGACCGCAAAGTCGTTCACAGATGTTGCACATGTGGATTGTTTCATCTAGTGCAGGAGGGGTGGTAGCAGTGGCTTCCGCGCTGGTCTGCCTTTTTTATTTGCAGTCGGGCTATTCAAAGTTATTGACACCTTCTTGTGTGGTGCTCTCTAGCTTAACGTGTGGGAGTGATTGTCTCCTGTGTGTGGGTAATTTGGTACTTTTTCAGGTTTGTTTTGAAGACAAACTTCGTCTTTTCAGTTGCTCGTCAGCTGCTACGCTTACTATTCATTCGGCGAGTGTAAGTAGCTGCTTTTGGCAGTTCACTGTCGTCCATGGCAGGTAACATGGCCAGTCCAATGTAGTTGTTCTGGGTAATGGTAGTCTCGGTGTTCCTTACAGTTGGTGTCGGCAAGTACTGGCATTTGTCCGCCTTCCCAGCTAATCCGAGGATGGAACGAGACGCTGGAAAGTTTTCATGCCTTGAGGTGCCTCCTGTATAACCCATGTCTCACTGTCATATGGCCAGGGTGGGGGAGGACCACTGTTCGATATATGTGTAACTTGTAGATAATTTCAGTTCTACAGTTGAAGATTGACGGGTAATGGAGTTGACAAAGGTTTGAGTGGCATCTGATTCGATGTTGAATCTCTTCATCGGGTGTCTGTGGTGGACAGGTGAAGCCGAGATACTGAAAGTGGGTAACATTAGAGAGGGTAGTACCATTAAGTTGGGATGGATGGGAGGAGGTGTATGAACCAAGGGCAGGTTGAAAAGATCTGAGTCATGACATTCACCTCATGGTCTATGTGCATATGCATCTGCATAGGTGTTCAGGATCTTCTGTAGGTCACATTTAGTGAGTATGCAAGTTGTTGTTAGCATAATGAAGTTTATAATGGAAGTCTGTTTCGACAGATGTCAAACCTCGGTTTTTTCTCTGACTAAGTCATCCAGTTCGTGTTGATTAGGAAAATGTGGGGATTGCTTGAGTGCTAGCATTAAGTCAACATCCTCTCTTCAGAAGAGAGAGTCAGCATTTGAAATCGTGGTTTAAGGAAGGTAGACTGGGAATTGGTAAATTCACAGTGGGAGACGGAGTAATAGATGATGGTATGCTCGATACACAATGAGTTCTTCGACCTTACTCTTCCTACTTAGATATGACTACCATGCAAAGTAACACTCATCATGGTGGTTGGTTTGTTCTTCCAATTCGAGGTATTGATGTATATGCTTCAAGTTACCACGTGAACTACCTTCTAATGCCGCCGACAGCTTCCACAGTAGAAATGAGGTGTCTAGGGTTTGTCTTGTCACCCATAGGCATACCAAAATAAGCATGATATGTAATGAAAACCTAGTGCTATGTGAAATGTTGTGTTTGATCTGCCTAGAACCGATGTAATATCCGGGGAGATAGCAGAATGTAGTCTGAAGACGGGCGACAAACACTTAATGGTAGCTATAACTATCTGGAAATAGAGGCTGTACTATAGGTATCATAAAGTTAAATGGAAGATAGATAAATATATTTCAATGCCAGAATACCCAAACACAAAAGAAATCCACACTGTAATTCTTCCGTTAAAGAAAACTAATGCACTCACATCTTCACCAGTTGAAGCAGACTGATCTTGTGCTCCTTCCACTATATTCTCCAGGCAGAGTTGGCAGACAGCTTTTAGTCAAGCCTCAATTTGAAATATTGTATTTTTCCAATTATTTTTTTGCTATTTTATTGATTGATGTTTATTTAATAAACCTTTATATGTATTAAATATGCATTGTGCTCCACAAAAAATAAAGTTCTTTATATTTTAGTGCTCAATGTTTATCAGTTTCTTTTTACATGAAAAACACATCAGGCTTAAATTATAGGTAATTACAGCTTCATTTAGGTATGCAAAAGTGGCCTGGAAAATTCTACTTCTAATGTTTTCCCTCTATAAAATAATTCTCTGTTCCTGACATCAGATATAAGTGGATTTATTTGTTCCATTTATTTGTTGGTGTTTATTTTATCCAAAATATGAGATTAACATAAGGAACACATGTAAGAGAAACATACATCAAAAGATTAGCCTTTATGTTGGGATATGTGGGTGGTTTTTGGGGGTTTTTTCAGCACCTGTCAAGTGTGTGTATATATTAAAACAATGATTTGTCATTTTTAAAATTTGATAAAATTTAGATGTGCTTTTTTTAGTAAATTTGGATAAAATTTAGAGGCCAAAGATCTACCTTAGTTTTTATATTGAACAAGTACCGGGTAAATGTGTAAATCAGATACAATACATAGTCAATATCAATACAGTTAGTTGTTAATAGTTGTAATACAGCAAAATCAATGAAATTTAGCAACACAGGTCATTCTTCTTGAGTGCCTCTATTACAGTCCTTTTTAGAGAGTTTGGAAAGTTCTTTCGATGATCACTGACCACCTGGAGTAGAAATTGGCGTTGTTCCTCATCCTTTGTTATTACATGGATGTAATCTTGGATGAGTGCCACACCTCTCTCAGCCACATCGTTAACCACTTTCATTGTCTTGAGCTTCTTTTGTGCTTTGCAATAACCTGCATTAGTTTGCCACAAAGATGGGGACAACTGTAAAAAGTCAGTTGGCAGATTGAGCATGTCAAAAAATTTACTTGTTGCAGAAGACACAAAATCTTCAAGGTGAATGTCATTCACGTCTTGAGGCTTAACCACTGCCTTCATGCGGTTACCATTTTGAGCCTTTTTTAGACTGTCCACCATCCTCTGCTTTGTTTCATCACCAACATTCATATCAAAGAAGGCAAAGCCAACAACTTCTTCATTGAGGTACCACAGATGATTGATAAATTTGCGGCAAGCCTCTTCTGAAACCTCCTTGTCAACTTTTGTGTAGTCAGAAATCTTCTTCAGGAAGAGCAGGTCATTTGCTGGAACTTGAACTGGCAAAGTAGCCAGGAACCATGCTTTAAAGTATACAAGGACAGCAAATCGAACCACCCTACCGAGTCCTTTGACTTCTCGGGCTGTCAACTTGAATTGTGACCGGAACATCCATATTTTGAAGGAATACAACAGCTTTGCCATCCACCTGGCTCTGTGCATGGCCCCAGGCTTCCTGAAAGATATCTTGCGGTGTGGAGTTCCTCCCAGGAATATAACAACCAATTCGAGTAATTCTCTATAGTCTTCCCGTGGCTGATTATCATTAAGGAAGCTCAATGCATTTTTCAGCAGACCTTCTCGATTTTCAGTCACAACCAAATCCATTTCTTGATCAGTGGCAGCTGTACTGTAGTCACTCTGCACAATGTTGGGCCAAAATGCTTGAAATCTCTTAAAAACAAGTATATCTGGCCCAGTTGATGGACCCATTACACGGTCAAATACTCCACCGATCACAACCTCATGCACATGATGACGGCATGGCAACCATAGGAGATTTTTCTCCAGTTTAATTTCGATGAGCTTACAGGCCCCAGTGTGGCGTCCAGTGTTGCTGCTTGTAGTGTCAAAAGACATTGCCACTATATAGTCTTTTAATTTCCAATCTTTGACCACTTCAACCACAGCATTAGCCATCGCTTCACCAGTTCCATTGGGCAACTTTGATACATTCAGCAATTGTTCATTCTCTTCATAGGACACAATGATTGGCAATCGATCATAAGTTTCTTTACCACCAGCTGTTTCAGGAAGTAGCTTTCCATCCCAATGAACAACAAGAGGGATTGTTGGATCAAGATTAAGTATAAATTGTTCTTTGGCAGACTTAAAAGACTGAACTCTCAACTTCATTCTTGATTGTCGAATTGTCTTCTGGTTGACTGCTATGTCTTCCACGTTGTGACCTAAAGTTTGAGCTGCTGCAGCAATCAAATGCACAGCATCACGATCACTAATCTTGGTGCGATCTAGTGCTTTGGCCAGAACAGGGGACATTATGTTTTTGCACGTGGTTTCCCAGGTTTTGATTTTTTGGGAGGAGAACACTCTGACGCTGAAGAATTTACTTGTTCCTCAGACTCAGATGATGATGAGAATGGCGGATTCATTCCTTGTTTTTCATCTTCTTTTGTTTTCTGTGCCAAAGCTTTTGAAAAGCGAGCACGTTCTTCTTCTTTTCGTATTGCCAAGCGGACTTCTTTTGCTGCTAGTTCTTTATCAACTCTACCCAAGTATCCTTTCCTTCCATCTCGTTGTGCTAGAAGGAATTGCCGATCTTCTCCAATTTTGATCATTGTCAAAGCATTTGCATGAGCAATGTCAAATAGTTTACTTAATTGTTCTTTGAAAACTTCTTCCTTTATTTGCTGAGCTTGGCTTCTCCTCTTGGCAGCTTTTTGAAGGCTTTTCCATTTCACAAACATTTTTTCAACTCTTTCTCGGGCATGAATTTCTGAGCAAGTTGGTATTCTTGCCATTTCCCAAAATGGGAGTACTTGCTTGATCACTTCCTTGGCACTCTCTTTGATGGTTGCTTTGTTGACTTTGTGAATTTGAAAGAACAAACTCATAACTTCCCCAGTAGAAGGCAGTTTTAGACCAGTCAAAGCGTGTGCAGTTGGCCCAATCAACCATACTTTATTGTCTTTCCTTGTCTTTGGCTTTGTGCCACTACCACTAGTACTAGCCATCTAAAAAGAGAAACCATTACTATTATTAGTATTATATGATATATAATTTAGGGACAATAGGTAACACAAACTCACACCCAACATCCAGTTTGTAGAGTCTAGGATGTTGAGCTTGATAATGAGTACAAAGAAGTGACAAAAAAATTCTCTATAAGTCCAATTGGATATGTGGCACTCACAGATAGACCTAAGCTCATTCATGGATTGACAGAATACAGACACCTGCACAACATGTCAACAATCTGCCATTATATAATATATATATATATTAAGTAAGTTGTGTCAAGTTGTGCCCCTGGCTGGTGGCACCTCTAAACATCCCTCAATTTGGTTGAAATTGTTTGGGTTATATTATTTTGGTAGTTCTTATAAAAGGGCAGGGTGGTTGTGATCATATTCTGAAAAAAAAATTATAACCCCCATTTCGGGACCACCCTAAGTCTGTCGTCGATGTGTGGTGACCACCTGAAGCAGGTACTGCTTTTGAGCTTCGCTTTTCGTAATTGAAGAGTTGTAGTCCTGGATAAGCTTCACCGCTCTTTCGGCCACATCATTCACCACCTGCAACTCTTGTAGAATTTCCCTTGACTGAAGGAACTGTGGATTGTCAGTCCATTGACTTGGATCTTTGGAGACGAATCCAGAGTCCAGGAGCGTGGTTTGAAAGAAGCAGTTAGTATTTGTGGATGCAAGGTTTTTAAGCTCCAGTGATGGAATTTCCTCTTCTGTCACTTTCAGCTTCTTTGGACATTCCTTTTTCTCGTTCTTTCCCTTCATTGACCCAAGGATTTCTCTTTTCTCAGCATACAAAACACTAGCACTGAAGAGAGCACGAGCTACTGACTCCTCACTTAAATACCAGAGATGCCGCTGGAAAGCCTCTGTTGCTGCCATTCCAACTGATTCATCTATTTTCTCCCCATAGTAATGAAGTTGTTTGAGGAAGGATATATCATTGCTTGGAGCTTCAAACACTTCAGGAGCTTTGAACCACATTGGACCGTACACAAGAGCAACAAAAAGGGACATGGTCTGAATCAGCTTCTTCTCCTTGATAGTTAGCTGGAACTGGTGCTGAAACATGAATATCTGGAGAGAGCATAATGCTTTAGACATCCAACGAGCATGGTGTACTGGGCCAGGCTTTCCAAAACGAATCCCTCGGGGCGGAGTAACACCCAGGAATATCACACAAAGTTACATAAGTCGGAGGTAATCGTCCCGGGGCTGAGTCTGCTTGAGAGCCTTCTTGTAGTAGTCGATAACTTTTTGCACCCATTCCGAATTTTCCTTCAACACTGCAGTGATATACCCATTAGTCTCTCCCGTCTTGAAATCCAACTGCTTGATTTGATGCCACTGCTTTTTAAACCTCTGGAACAAGAGAACATCAGGACCACTAGATGACCCATGAATGACTTTGAAGACATCTCTAAGAACAACTTCCAAGATATGGTGTCTGCAAGGAAGGTACAGGAGATTTCTTCCCAATCTCTCTTCAATCAAGGTAAAAGCTCCACGAACATGACCAGTGTTAGCGGCAGTGGTATCAAAGCACATGGTGACAACCCGATCATCGACATCCCAATCTTTCAAAGTATCCACCACAGCATTAGCTTGCGCCACTCCCGTTCCTGATGATAGGTGTAAAACGCCCAATAACCGGACATTCCCTACTGAAGAGGATACATCTTTCCCCGAGATCAGTATTGAGAGTCGTTCAACAGATTCCTCTCCTGTTAGAGATGGAAGGAGCTTACCATCCCAATGAACCACAATTCCAGTCTTGGCTCCAGAGGATATGATAGTTTGCTTCACAGAAGCAGTGTGATCTCTACGATATCAGATACGGGCTCTCCTGAGTGCACTTAAGGCATGTTTATTAGGGCTGGGCAAGAATCGTTAAAATTGGAATCGACAGTTCCGATTCTCAGTGCCAATGGAATTGCTGGAATCGATTCCTCAAAGTAAGCAGAGTAACAGAGTAAAAAAAACACATCTACCTGACATTACAAGTTAAAAAATAACAATGCAGCTCACAAGACTAAATGCCGCGGTTAGTAAAATGGTATACAGGGTGAAAACCGTGGATACATGAAATCTGCGGCTGGCGGAGGTCAACTGGAGGTGAAAATAGTGAATAAACTTAAGATTTGAGTCGGTAATCTTCGCCATGTATCCAGCCATGGCTCCTACACAGGATTATATTTATTGTTTTCCTTTTTGATACTCACCCATCCAATGGGCAAGGACCACAAATTCCCACCATACTCCTCAAAAGCCTGAAAACCAAGATACCAAATATATTAAGTTTACAAACCTCAGCATCATCTCTCTTCTCTGGTCCCTGTGAACCCAATACTCTGTCTTCCAGAGGGATATGGCCAACAGCAGTGTAGCCAGTTAGTGGCTCAAACCATGGGTCCTCTGTTCCAAAGTTAACCTGAAGAAGAGAATACAGATTACTGTATTGGTGGACTAACAGATCAGGTAATGCTCACAACAAAACGTGTTTGTGTGTTTGTCGTAAGGATTTCGTTAATCGAAGTTTTGTTCATTAACCGAATTGAAGATCCTTATGGGAGCTAATTCGTTAACCAAATTTTTTTTAATCAAACCGTTCGTTAACCGAGGGACCACTGTAGTATATTTTTTTTTATTATTATTTATCGGTATTATTTTTCTTTATTCCTCACATTTAATGGTACATACTGTATATATTATTTTCAGAAAAATATGGCTACAGGAAGAAAATACAGACAAGTTTTTTCCACATACTACTGCTAAAATGGGGGCAAGTCTTATATGCCATAAAATACAGTATCCTGTTTTCAAGTAAGTGAAATGAGTGTAGGAACATATCTACTCCATATAGCTACACAGCATATAATGGCATGACACCTTTTAATGCGGATTCAAATTGCGATATCTTTTCAAAGAACCTAACCCTATTGTTAAATGAGGTACACCTTTATATTAAAAATAAAAAAAATAAAAAAAATTAATGATGGGAAGGTCTGTCTCTACCAATCTTACCAAGGAATGGGTCAGCTTATGCAAACAGATCATGTTGGTGGGTGTGGTTACGAGTAGCAGAGTGAGACGATTGGATACTTACAGTAACTGGCCTCTACGAACAGACCAATTATGTCATTCTATTCGTTTAGGCCAATATTCAACTGACTCACAGGCCTTTTCAATAATAATAAAAAAAATAATAACAATAAAAAAAATTCCTCTCTCACCCTGAAGCTGGAATTCTTGGTCACAATATGGGGAAACAGGGCTTGGTCTCCCAAATCAGCATGCTGAACTTCATAGGCAATACCCTGATGCTCTCCATTCACAGTGAAAGATATAACAATGGGTTCTGCTTCCATATCCACAAAACAACCAACAACGTCACCTTTTCCAAACAGTTTGCCATAATCCTGAAATTGAAGACAGTTAAGAAACATATGAATGACCTCTTATAAAAACAAATGAACCAATTAAATATATAAAACAAATTCTTTGTAAAGGGGCTGAAAAATTATTAATGTATGGGGAATTTTGAAGCTGTTCTCTTACAAAAAAATAAATTCTATATATTTTTTAAAGTCGCAAAATCTAGCATAGGCGGTGACCCAAAACTTTCAGACAATTACCCTCAACCCAATAACCGTGGTAAGTGATTCGCCGATAAACCCCCAGTGGGCAAAAAAACACACATCGATTTCCCCTGAACATCATTTTAACTCTTGTGGATTAAAAGATAGTATGGAGAAGAATGTGGAACCAAATACGAGTCCATTAATTACCTTAGTCTGACCACCAGTTTCTGAAATGGCAAGTGTAAACATTCCATACTTGACCCAGTGGGATAGAACATTTTTCACATGTTGTATTCAAAACGCTGTGAATTCCATCATGAATGTCAGTTATCAGGTTAAAGGCTAACTTCCAATTAAAGCCTTCTGCATCCCTATTGCATCATTATATCCGATTATTGTAATTTCCCTACCAAATATCTACAAATATTAGTGTAAGACAAGAATGCCTCACAATAATCACTGAAGCCAAGAACTTGTTCAACATTCCCTTACCTTGAATCTTAAATTTGTAGAGGCCTTTCCTGTACCACCATATCCATAACTGAATGGATCCTCCCCAAGGGTTAGTCCAGCATCATTGACTGATACACCAACGCGCAACACATGTGGATGTTGCTCTTCCTCTTCCAGCTGAGGCACAGGCAGATAGTCTTCAGCCTTAACTTCAAAGAAGATGCGGCCGCGTGTAAACCCATATGTGGCACGTACGCCGTGCCATACATACCCAAAACCTTGCATGGTCAGTGGCTGGGCACTCAAGTAATCTTCCTTGCTGATTATCAAACTTAAGTCAGAATTATCTGAAAAAGATTTTTGATAAATTAAATTACACAACAAAAGATAGTTATTCCTGGACAAATCACCTACTTTTTGGGATCCTCACTGCACAAATACCATCAAATTATTTAAATTCATTCAATATTACCATACACTGAACTGTACAGTAGGGGGCAGTGAAATTTTGCTCAAAGCTGCACTCTTCAGGCATTGTTCCTTATACATATCTAAGACTCCATGCCAAATTTGAAGCTGATATGTCGAGGTTTAGTCTGCCGCATTTTCTACTGAAATTTTTTAATTTACCTACAGTACTAGCCAAACAGCCGCTGTGGCGGTGCAATGTTCTGTTCAGTGTTTATCAACTTTTTTTTCATATCTCTTATTTCATTTAAGTTGTCTTGTTGCAGATGAGTATGGTGCTATGTCTATATTGATTATCAGCCTTTTCTCATTTCATTTCTCAATGTTGTGTTACTGTACTGTAATGTAGGGGAGACCTGGGTAAGTTGGCGCACTTGAAATTATTCAAATAGTTACCGTTAAGCAGTTCACACCGCAGGATCACCACGTGCTTCCTCAGTCACCCATAAGCAGTCATTCTGAGACGCCGCACGTCTTGATTAGAGTGGGGGAAAATTGATTTTGATGCTGGTAAGTAAATTTTATTCTCTTATAAGGTTTGCTGTAACATGTGTGAGGTTATAGACAAGTACTGTAGTATCCAATTTAGCCATAATTCAACTTAGCGCTTAAGGATTGTTTATCCATGAAACAGTTCATGTTAGGCTTCTTGATATATACCAAAATAATTTATTTATGATCACTGGTACGGCTGGGACAAGTTGGCTCAACAAAAATGGGGCAAGTTGGCGGCACAGTACTAGTTACATACTTTCCATTTTCATTTATTTGAATTAGGCTACATTATATTTCTGATTAACTAATTTTGGCGTTATTTACTAATGCACAAGAAGCCTATTGATGATGTGTTTTCAGAAATTGCTCTAATAACTAACTTTTTCTTTTTCTTTTCAGGTGATCTGATCAATTTGCTATCAAGATGGCTACTGTATTAATGAGGGCAGCCACAGATCATGCATTGTTTGGCTCTGCAAGTGTTCTTCCAGTGGACAAACTTCCCTCGAAAGGCGAGATGTTAAAGAACTGCTGGCGATATAAATGTGATGACGGAAAGTTTGCAGATGTCTCAATGATTATAAAGATGGCCGCCCAGGACTGTTCAGAAATATGGGAAAAAGCAATTGGAGATAGGCAGAATGTTCCTCTTCTTAGCCAAAAAAATATTGAGGAAAGGTTGAGAAAATTGTACAGTAGTGGAATTGAACTAAATAAGAACAAGAATGTAGGCAAAAAAGCTGCATTTCAGGTAGAAATGAAAGAGTTGTTTGATATCTGTAGCTGTTATTGTCCCCTTGCCTCCTGTCAGGATGTGAGGTGCATAGTTAAGGAGTGTGACGGATATCACCTGGCATGTAATTGTGTTATAAAAGTTCCCAAAGTGACGAAGATGTGGGACAGAGTGACGGCAAGAGAGAAGCATGATGCGGACAGAGTTAGGAGACAGCTTGAGCAAAAACAGAGATATCTGGTAGCTGGAGATATTCCTTATGTTGAGGATAATTCAGATGATTCAAGAGATATTCCTCTCGTCAATACTGATGCTGATTTTGTCCCTGATCCAAGGGCTCTGACAGACACCAGTTCACAGAACCGGACAAGACTCCCTACACTGGCTGCCGCTTGTGACCGATACTTGATTAGTGATTATGCTGGAGCTGCCATTGCTACTGCCACCTTAACTGACTATAGCATTATCACAAAGGATGACAAGAGTCAGGTTATTGGACCACATAAGCTGCGGGATGCGAGACAAAAATACCGATTTAAGAGGCAAGAAATTGAGATGGCTAGTTTAGATAATTTGACGTCACTCTATTTTGATGGTAAGAAGACCGCCACTCGTGTGATGATAAAGAATGAGAAGACCGAGAAATGGAGTTCGAGGATGATGGTGAAAGATCATTATGTCATCATGGTTGAGCCTGGCAATGAATATCTCACACATGTGACTCCCAAGACTGGACACGGAAAGCAGATTGCCAAAACTATTCACGAGTTTCTGGTGGAGAAAAATCTAACCCAGCAGCCCATTGTGTGTGTTGGTTGTGATGGAACCAATGTAAATGTAGGATCAGAAAATGGAGTCATTCATCATCTTGAAATGTTACTTGGTCACCCGCTCCATTATTTCATATGTCAGCTTCACGGAAATGAGCTGCCTTTCCGCGCAGTTTTTTATCACTATGATGGTAAACCAAGTGGTCCTGAGCATTGGCGTGGTCCCATTGGAAAGCAGATCAAGGAGTCTTTGTCTGAGCTTCCAGTTGTCGCCTTCCAGCCAGTCAGTTTCCCTGATTTCCCTGTGTTTAATGATGAAGTGGAGAAAGATCTGTCCTGGGATCAGAAATACCTGTATAGGATTTGTAAAGGAGTTATCACAGGTGTTGTTGAAGATGACTTGGCTGCTATTGAGCCAGGTCCTCCCTGTGTGTCAAGGTGGAACACCTTATGGAGTAGAATCCTCAGGCTGTATGTAGCAACATCAAGACCCAGCCATGAGTTGAAAAGAATTGTCATTACAATAATAAAGTTCAGTGCTCCAATGTGGTTTTACATCAAGATACACCCTTACGTAACACACGGCTCAAGGAACGTATTCCAGTCCCTGCTATATATGAAACACCTGAATAGTGAGGAGGAGACGATAGTGAAGAAGGCTGTCCAGAGAAATGCATACTTCGCCCACACAGATCAACTTCTTCTTGGTATGTGTGCAGATGAGGACATGACTGTTAGAGAAAAAGCTGTCTCAATGATAAGAAAAATTAGAGAGGAGAATCAGCAAAAGGAAGAATGCACTGGCAGATCTGAAGAGGAGGAGGAAGATTCTGATGCTGCTGTTGACGAGAATTTGTTAAACTATACTGATGAGGAGGGTAAAGATGGAGATGGGAATGAGGATGTGCCTCCTGTAGTCAACATGAGAAAGGTGGTGACTCCGAAACTAAAGTGGCAAGCAAAAAACTATCATTCCATGATTAACTGGAGGAATGAACTCAAGACTGAGCCTCCTTACATTGCTTCTCTGTCAAATCTACAGGTTAATGACATTCTTGAGACACCATTAGTGGTGCCCAAGTGGCCAAACAGCACTCAGGCGGTCGAGAGAGGCATAAAAGTGATGACTGAAGCTTGCACTGAAGTGACGGGATACGAATCGAGAGATGGATATATTAGGCAAAGATTATTGTCTAGGAAAAGGATGCCAAGGTTCCGCACAAAAAAGAATTTCAATATGAACTTGTAATGATTTTCTATACGGTGTACCAGGTTAGGGTGACAATAGTGCATAGGGGTGAATTTCTAAAATTGATTAAATGGAATGGCCATTGGTCCAATACTGCGTACCCATGAAAAAAGAACACAGGCGAAATCCTGGGTCATTTGGACAATATTTAGAGGTAGCTCAAGTCAATTGAAGTTTTATCCTTTTGGCAAAAAATACGAATATTCATAATATGCCGGTTTATTTTAAAATTTACATATTGAGCAAGTTTATGTGTACATATAAATGATTAATTCCTTTTTAAAATGAAACTGCAGTGAACACGCTTACATCAATGGGTGGGAGAGGTGTGGACAACCCATTCATTGTTTTCGCTTTTTGCTTGTAAGGTCCTGTTTTGATGTCCCTGGTTGTGACCGCCTCTGCTCTTCAACAACCTGCAGCAGATGTTGACGCTGGTCTTCACTCTTCGTGATCTTGCTGTTGAATGCCTGTATCAAGGCAATCCCTCTCTCTGCAGTGTCGTTGATGACTCTGAGACCACCCACAACTGCGACGCCAGTTTTGAAGTCTTCATCATCAGACCATGTGTCAGGTTCCTTGGACAAAAAAGAAGTCTTCATTTTGAGACTTTCAAATAGAAAGTTTGATCCTCTAGAAGCAAAGTCTGAGAGCTGCTTTGTGGGAAGGGAAGATGTGGCAGGAAGAGCAGCACGTTTTGGTGAATCCTCGGTCGCCTTCCTCTCAACGATTGCCCGAACTATGTTTGTCTTCATTGTTGCATTAACTTGTGGATCGAAGAGTGCAAGACCCACCAAGCCTTCACTGAGGTACCACAGGTGACGACCGAAGACTGTGAGACATGTTCTTGATATTTTGACGTCGTGGTACTCTGACAGGTCTTGGAGGAGCCGCAAATCATTAGCAGGAGCGGAGGATGGAACGGAGGCCGTGAACCATGCACTGACATACACCTCTAGCACAAAGAATGTGAATCGTTTCAAGCCTAATGTCTCACGAGCAGTTAGTTTAAACTGATTAGCAAAAATCAGGATCTTCATGACATAAATGAGCTTAGCCATCCACCGTGCTCGGTGAAGTGCTCCGGGCCGTCGGAGATTAAACTTGGGTAGAGCTCCATCGAGACACCTGATTGCTAGCTCCAGTACCTCACGGTAATCATCACGTGGCTGCTGCTTCTTGCCCAGATGATGTTTCCAGCAACAGATGAGGTCATCTCGTTTCTCGTACAAACTTGGAGGGAGGTCTGAGAGAGGGCTGTAGTCATCTTGACTGATGTCCTTCCACTTATGCTTGAAGCGAGAGAAGAGAGTATTATCTGGTCCAGAGGAAGGCCCCATGCATTCCACATACGCTTTCTCGGCAACAAGCTCAAGGATGTGGTGACGACACGCGAGATGCAGAAGACGGCGGCCGAGTTTCTGCTCCAGAATGACACATGCCCCCGACAAGTGCCCAGTGTTTGAAGCTGTTGTGTCAAAACTGAGTGCTGAAACATTCTCTGATATTTTCCACTCTTCCAGCGCTGCACTGACTGCTGTAGCAATGGCCTGTCCAGTCCCTGACAATAGTTTCGGGACACCAAGCAGCTTTTCAGTATTGATTCCGGAGACAAGAATGGCGATTCGGTCAACACTCGCTCCTTGTTCATCAGGAATAATTTTTCCATCCCAGTGCACAGTGAGCACTTCACTAGGTTGAAATTTTTCTTTAATTTCGTTGGCAATCCCAGAACGGTGGGTCGCTCGCGAAGTACGCACTGTCTCATAGTTTAAAACTAGTTCCATTGGGTCATGACCTAGACTAGCAGCCGTGGCACTGACGATCCGGAGAGCAGAGCGGTGACTGATCCCAGTGCGGTCCAATGTACTTGACAATTCAGGGGTGATAACTTTGAGAGTAGCACGTTTACGATTGGAAGAAGATACCACTGGTGATATCGCTAGGGAACTTGTAGATGATGACGAGCTTGATTGTGATTCTGTTTCAGACGAAGAACCCAACTCATCATATTCAAGTGCAGAACTGGCTTGATTCTGTTGTAGAGATTGCTTACTCTTGCTTTCTTCCCGACACTTGATGGAACAAGCAATCTTTTTGTCTACTCCTGCATTACACCTCTTCTCCCTTTTTCTCGTTGCGCTGCCAGGAATGCTCGGTCTTCTTTGATGGTCAAGAGCTGCATTGCCTTGGGGTGGGCAACATCGAAGAGGTCCTCTAACTCATCACAAAAAGTTTCCTCTTTCTTACGTTGTGTGTCTGTAGTGCGAGTGCAGTTTTTCTTAAGTCCCTTCCACATTAAAAAAAGATCCACTACCTTTCGTCCAATACTCTTCTCAGTTATGGTAGGAATCCGTGCTTTATTCCAGAAACTAATAACCGATGCTGCAACTTCACTCGCAGAATCATTCACTGTTTTCTTATGTTCATTGTGACCGTGGAAAAACAGACGTAGAACATCTCCTCTTGAAGGAAGTTGTGCACCCGTGATTTCGGTTATGTGTTGACCAATGAGCCAAACTTCAGTTTTTGAACGTGTACTCTCCATTGAACCTGAAACAAACAAAAACATTTATGTAACTTATATTGTTACTGTTATGCAAACAACAGCACCCATAAAGCATACGGCATGCAAGATCACTTGTATAAAGTTTTTAAAGTGTTATATACCTAAATTGATGCATTGATTTTAGACAAAGACAATGGTACTAACCGTAATACTGCAACAAGAGCGACGCACACACACCCACCGTCACGTCTCACACACAACTGATGCTACTGTACCAGTCAGACACTGGCACACAACCTCTTCCCCCTACCCCGACTGACACCCGCCTCTCCCTCCCCTCTGCATTGCCAATAGCTGCACCAGCCAAAATACTCATTACTCATTTTTAGAAAAAATGTTAGGAACAACTTTAGTTTGAATTTGCATTCTACATATACCTGCAAAGTTTCATAGTAATCGGTTCATAAATAAAGAAATTAGAAAAAATCAATAATAATTTCAGTAGTGTTAACTTCAAATGGCTTGAGCCACCTCTAAATATTGTCCAAATGACCCAGGATTTCGCCTGTGTTCTTTTTTCATGGGTACGCAGTATTGGACAAATGGCCATCTAAAAATAAAAACTTTCACTTTTTATTGTCACCCTATACCTGTAAAATAACATGTGAATTAAATCGATGTCACCCATGTAAAATTTATCATTATCCTGGAAAACATTAAATGACACCTAATTTTTGGTATACACTAAAAGTTGACAAAAAGTCGTTCGCGATGCGGCAGGGTAAGTGTGCATGAAATGGCATGAAATTTTGCACAGGTGTTTGTTACAGCCATACAAACGATGCCTGAAAAGTGCAGCCTGCAACTCAAATAAAAGTGTTTTTTCCCTGCCCCCTACTGTACAGTACAGTTAACACTCGTGCTACACAACTTGTATGCAATTTATGTCACATTAAATTTTGACCAAGAATTTAAATAACAGCTCCATTTAATATAACAAGAAATCGTAATTTTCAAGGCCATAGTCTAGAGCAAATGTATAAACATAAATTATTCCCATTTAATTTTATTGTTATACTGTAGACAAGTTCATCAACCTCAATAACCAATACATATGCAGACAGAAAATTTCACAGTTACTGAATCAACAGTTATCGAAGCAATTAATCCCATAAGCATATAACAAATTCGGGACATTGGGGACCGGCCACCCCTCAAAAACTCCCATCTACCCTTGATATATTACTGTCATGCATACTGTCAAGCAAGAATATTAAACAGATATATGAAGCAAGCATAATGAGCCTTAAATAAGGATTGTAAGCATAAGTTGAGACTTATTTGCCTGTGTTACGGATGGTAGAGAGAGTCTTGGGTGGCAAGTTCAAGTCTCTACCAATCTTTGCTGGTCTATCACCACTCTTATTAAACATTACCACATCAACCTTGACAGATTTATGCACCCTCTTAGGGGCAGCACAAGAGGAACTACCACTGGGGCATTTAGGTTTGATTGTGTAACACACGAATTCGGAAATAACGAAAATCGTAAAGTTGGAGACACACGGTACCGCTAAGTATAAACACATTCAGAGAGGCGGGAATGAGTCGGTGGCAGCGCGCAGATCCCTCTTGTGAAAAGAATTTGCACCACGCCTCTGCCCGCAAAATTCAAATCAGCTCTGCCACTCCTCCCCCTAATTTTCAGATCAATGGAGTAGTCGATGAAACTTGTGAGGTATCTCCCCGATACGTAATCATTAGTTCTGCCAAGTGGCAGGTAATGGGACGTCAGTTTACGGGGTATACCTGTAGTTGCATCTTAAGTGGCAGCAGTGGGCACCAAGGAGGAAAACTTCACATTACAGAAAACCCCAGATATAGCAGACTAATTAGGGGGGAGGCCAGACCGGTAAAAGCCAAAAGTCCGTTATATCCAGATCCATAATAATAACGGACTCGGTCCATTATATACCAACATAGTCTGAAGTGCCTATAATCATTTTACCATCGTTAAAGGGCAGTTCACTTGCACGGTCCTATGCACAGTTGGGATCCCCCCCAGGAGAAGGAAATGATATAAGGAGCTTCTACCACAACTATGCGAAGGTTGTGTATCACCACGACAATCATTATATTCCTGCTTGTTTAGTGGATAACTTTAATACCTTTCAGGCAAATAACTCAATAAATGTCTGCCTGTCAGGGATGTGGAGTGGTGGAGTTAATATCTTGGCTGGCTAAGTACATGAGCTGTGTGACTGGGTCGCGTGTGCCTAATTACCCTGCTTACAAATATTAACGGCACTTGATATACTTGGAATTTTGGTATTTACAATACAGTATATACAAGCACATATTGTTTTCGTGTTTGTACATTTTAAAATACTGTACCAAAATTCAGTAGCAGCATCAAATGCCATAAATATCTATGTATAAGCAAAGTGCAGTCTGACCTCGCAACTTCGTGTCTCAGAAGTCCGTTTTACACAAATACTTTTATTTTCATGAGTTTCCCCAATACAGGTTGACAACCCCTTATCCAAAATCCTTGGGGCCAGATGTGTTTCGGATATCAGAATTTTTTGGATTTCAGAATACTGTAGTTAGGTTAGTTTATATTTTTGTTACGGGGATTAGCTCACCGGGGCACAGGACACCAACCCACGTGCATATCAACACGAAATTAAGAGTTGAAAAATAATAACGACGCAACTCAAAGGTTGGTCCAGCATGTGAAGGCTGCGGCTAGCCCACCCAGTTAAAAAAATTACTTTAGGTTATCGTAATTTTTCATTTGCAAAAAAGCAGCGTTTGTTTTACGAATATCAAATAGGGATGTTAAAATATCAACTGCGGCTAAACAGGGTTGTGATTATCAGAGTTGCTAATATTGAGGTATTCCTGTATTTTAGAGCCAATATTATAAAGAGTGATTCTGAGACCAAAAAAAAAGCAAAGGAAATTATTTAGTTCAAGGCAAAAATGGATGTGATCATGTGAGCAAGCTGAGTAAATTTTGTGGGCAGTTTAAGTGAAATTTTATTTTTCTTTATCTGATGATGATATTATGTGTTAAATTATTGTAATGGACAAACAAGACATTCCTCATACAGTATTATGTACAGCAAATTTAAATACTTACACCAATCAAGAGCAACAACTGTCATGTCTCTCTCTGGTTCATCTTCAATGCGCACTTCTTCAACTTCTGGTCGAGACCTTTTGGAGTCAGGAGCTGTCTCAGGAGAACGAGATCGTGAAAGTGCTCTCTTCTCTCCTCTTCTCACCGCTTCCGTTTCTTCACTCACCATGGGTTCTTCTTTAACATCAAATTCCTCTTTGATATTAGCCTCTTCTTTTACTTCCATTTCTAATCCATTATCTTTTTCAGTTTTCACATCTGGTATGGAATAAATGACAATAAATGACTGTACTTGGCACAAAAAAATTTCCCAATTTAACATGAACAGCAACATGTCTGCCTCTTACTGATGGCTCGCTGTCATACCATAAACTATTCTCTTCACCTTAGTGTAAGAACATTACATATCTTCAATGTACCATTTGTTGGAGAAGCTATCAAACTGGGAGGTACTACTGCCTGGGAAGATACAGTATTGGATGCATAATGTGTTGTCTAATGGTAGACCCTGCTGCCATATGGCAACACAAAAACTGTGATATAGTCCCAGGTTGTTGTTCTGATTTTCTGCCTCATTTACACACAATTGCACGGTCACAATTGTTTCTCTTACTTCGACAACACAACATACATATATCGTTTCTCACTTAAATTTTTTCATTTTTGTATTTATGGTAATTATTATTATTATTATTTCATTGTTTTTTTCATTCTTTATTATAATTTTTATTTATTTCAATTAATTATTATTATTATTATTATTACTATTATTCTATTTTCGCCCCCAGACATACATACAGTATATAACACCATCCATCATCACTGCATATAACATCATCCATCATCACTACATATAACACCATCCATCATCACTGCATATAACACCATCCATCATCACTGCATATAACGCCATCCATCATCACTACAGATCGGTAAAGTAGTTTCCGAGATTCTCGTGCGGACACACACATAGATAGATAGATAGATAGATAGATAGATAGATAGATAGATAGATAGATAGATAGATAGATAGATATTAGATAGATAGATAGATAGATAGATAGATAGATAGATAGATTGATATATATATATATATATATATATATATATATATATATATATATGTATATATATATATATATATATATATATATATATATATATATATATATATATATATATATATATATATATATATATATATATATATATATATATATATATATATATATATATTACTGTTATATTTTTGCCCCCAGACCTTGATGTGGGTCAGTGACCTGTGCCCGGGTGGGCTAATACCCGTAAAAAAAAAGTACAGTATGTACTTAATAGCAGTTGAAGATTAAGGAAAAGCTTCACTCACTGTATAACAACTAGGAATAATAACCTGGATATGAAGTAAGTGTTTTACGAGTACATGTCAATTAAAAACAAGCGAGCATCTAGCTACTTACCAATATCTTCAACTGGCTCCTCTTCATAACCAAGTTTTGAGGAATTTTCAGGTTCTGGTTCTTCTTTCACCGAAGCTTCTTGAGGTTCCGAGTCCTTCCTCTTGGCTGGTGATGGTTCTGGAGCTTTCTTGGCTGGTGATGGTTCTGGAACTTTCTTCACTGGTAATGGCTCTAATTCTGGCACTTTCTTCACTGGAGAGGGTTCTGGCATTTTCTTCACAGGCGAGGGATCTGGCACTTTCTTCACAGGCGAGGGTTCTGGCACTTTCTTTACAGGCGAGGGTTCTGGCACTTTCTTTACAGGCGAGGGTTCTGGCACTTTCTTCACAGGCGAGAGTTCTGGCACTTTCTTCACAGGAGAGGGTTCTGGCATTTTCTTCACAGGCGAGGGATCTGGCACTTTCTTCACAGGCGAGAGTTCTGGCACTTTCTTCACAGGTGAGGGTTCTGGCACTTTCTTCGCAGGTGAGGCTTCTGGCTCTGACTGCACTTTCTTCATGGGTGAGGACTCAGGTTCGGGTTCTATGGCCTCAACCACAGGTTCTGGCTCAACTTCTTCCTCTTGCTCAATTTCTTCCACTTCCTCATTTTCAGCTCCTCCAGCCGAGTCGTCAACGCCATCTTCACCTGATGAATGAGAGAGAAGAGACAACATTAGCTCACAAAATGGCTGGAGGGGAAAAGTACATGATGTCCATTACTTTCACACCTCACATTAACAAAAGAAATCAATACCTTCATTCCATCGCCAAAATGACAAAATCCATAACAAAATTACACCTGATTCTAACCAGAACAAACCACAGAATGTTGTACTTTACTGCAATATATATATATATATATTGTACTGTACTGGCAGCTCTCGCTTAATACTGTACCAAGGTTCTGTTACTGAAAAACTGTCCTAATAAAGAAAAACAAAATCATATTGGTCCAATGTTAAAGTGGCGATTGACTGATTGATTGTGGTAATTACATCCCAAGACACAACAGCTTAGGTTATATGCTGCCAAATTTAATTAGAGGTTTAAAAGACTAAACTCAAATAGTGCAAGGTAAAAAAAAACATAACTAACAAATAACAGAACTTTAATAAAAAACATTTAAACATTAATAGATAAAACTCAAAGTTTGTGTACAAGGCCAGCTTAAGGAGAGAACGTCACCTCCCACGCTAACACCCCCCCCCCCAGCACTAAAGAAATAGGGCAAGACCTGTCACCCGCCAGCACTGGGAGAGGTGCTTACAACGAAGATCTCTGAGACTGGGGCACTACACCAGGTGTTAAACAGTCAATGGGACTAGGCAGTAATAAAGGCAGTCCCAGTTTATAATAAGGATGCAATTCCTGAAAAAGCCTGGCAATATGGAAAATAAATTTTCCATTAAGTAATAAAGGGAGAAACCGTATGTTTCTGGGGCCAGACACTCAAAGGATTTACATTGTTGTAACTCCCAAAAGACAAAGTAACTTGAACATAGAAGTTGTATGTCCTCTCTCCAGTGATACTCAAAACTAAATCAAATCCATCTTGACATCACACACTGTATCTGTCGGTTGTAACCTACAAGGCCTTCTGTGCTCTTTTACCAGAATGAATCCCAGACATTGCCTTGTACAGTATTTTCTCAAATTAACAAACTAATTCAAGCCACCCCTTCCCATTAAATAAAAATTTCCACTAAATTGAACCTTCCATTATTTTTGATCGATTTAGCAAACTAGTTCGCTAAATCGAGCTTGATTCCGTTAAATTCCATGCCAAATGCGCCACTTGGCACATGGGGTTTGTTTAGGTCCGCTCAGTCTGTGTCTTGCCGCCACCACGTGTGTTGTTCACTGCTACCTCTCGGTCAACTAACTACTATGCTTAGCCATCATGCCAAAATTCTTCATGGATTTGGCTGTTCATGGCCATTTTGAGATCCTAACCCCGGCGAATTTTAAGGGCATGCTGTGTTTATATTTTCTGATTGCATAAGCTATGCCTACCAAGCTATGATGAACCTCATTAAAGCTATTTTACCAGGGAATACTGCAGAAAATAGGCTTCATATAACACTTCAATACTGTAGTGTATAATGCATGAACTTAATACAGTACAGAGGTCCCTCAATTAACGAACACAATTGGTTCCACAGAGTCGTTCCTTAACCGAAACTTTTGTTAACTAAATCTATTATTTAAATGGGATATTGGGTAATTGGCTCAAACTCATAGAAAAAGCATACATACAAAGCACTGTATACCAGTAATAGAATTAACAAAACATTAAATATAAACTAAATACAGTACAGTACTGTACAGTATACTGTATAATAATAAATAAACAATAGAATACTATATTTTAACTTACTTTGCGGTGTGTATGCCATATTCCCGGCAGCTTTGTTTACATATCAAAAAGCTGATTGTAGAGGCAGTCAATGATGACATGCCATATTCTTTACAGAGTGCATTGGTTCTAATGCCTTCTTCATGTTTCATAATAATTTCTGCACTGTGCAGTATATTATCAATACAGTATGTGATCTAAATTTCAGAATGACCAATAATTTTAATGTGAAAATGCAAAAATATTCAAGAGACCAACTGGATGCTCACTCCACTGTAAACAAAGTTAATCTGAGAAGCGTTGGTGGGTGATTCAATCAGCTGATTGGCACACAAAAACTGTTCCCTGTACTGTATATATACAGCTCCTCCCCAACTTACGACGGGGTTAGGGACCCAAATCCAGGTCGTAAGTCGAAATGGTCTAAGTAGAAAATGCTTAAATACATAAAAAATCTAAATTGGGTCTCTTTTTCTTCTCAGCACCACAAAACTCATCACCTTTAAGCTTGCCAGCCATTTTAAAGGGAATTACAAACGAAAATTTTGTCAGTACACAGCGCAATCGCTCGCTCGCTCACACACACACACTGCATATTATACCATTATGTCTAAATCAAATGTAAGTCTGTATATTTTCAGCCACCGGCTGCAACTCTATTAATAAACTGTTTATTATTATTATTATTATTTACACACACACACCTACTCCTTGACTTACGACACACTCGACCTACGACCACCCGGACATTCGACCGCCTCAGTCGTACCAAAATTTTGTCCAATTACGTATTTTCGAGTCCCAACGTCAGCGATTGTGCTGTGTACTGACAACATTTCCGTTTGTAATTCACTTTAAAATGGCTGGCAAGCATAAAAGTGAGAGTTTTGTGGTGCTGAGAAGAAAAAGACACCCATATTAGATTTTCATGTATTATTTAAGCATTTTTTACTTTCGACCAATTCGACTTGCGACCTGGATTTGGATCCCTAAGCCCGTCGTGAGGAGCAGCTGTAGTACTGTATAGGTATGAGCTGTCTCGTAAATCGGGTACGACTTGATATGTTCTGATGGGTACGATTTGCTTGAGTATGAGTTGTCCAGCACCAAACATAGCGCACTCTCAAGTCCACAAAAACCTAAAATTACACCAAGACGCTTCAAAAAAGTTGCTTTCATTAGTACCAGATATCAAAATAAGTACTTTCTGTTTAATATGGCAGAGGGTTAGTCCCCATCTAGGAAGTTAGGTAAGGTTAGGTAGATTTCTTTGGTTGGTTAAGTCAGGTTCTATTAGGTTCATTATTACTCACTTGCAACGGAAGTATACAGAATGAAAGTTAGTCGAAATGGGAGATATATCTATTGCATGTGTTAAAAATCCCAGATTTCATGGCTGTACGAAACTAGAATTTTACAGGTTAGGTTAACTTAAATTAGCTTGAACTTTTGAATACACTTTTAAAGACATTTGCCATAACTATGAGTGTCCACTATAAAACACAGCGAAATTGCAGCATTTTTTTATTGTTTTTCCATGAAAAATCGGCAGTTGTGAAGTTTTCAGCATGTCATGTGAAGGTTGTCGCTGGTCTTACATGGACGTAATTTGCGAATTTAGGGTTGAAGACAACGAGACCCTTCAATTGTTCAAAGACCACGGCATTTTTCCTTTATATACAGTAGTGTCCACACTGCGAGAATTCCTGTGCTTTCAGACAAGAAAGAAATTTTTTCACCACTTCCTCAACGCCTCTGCACGTTTCCCACTGCATAAGCACCAATGAGGCCGTATCATTTCACGTCCAGAAAATGCCTCAAATTTCACTATATCATAGTAAGTTCTGGGTGCCAGTGAAGTCAGCCCTTGGTGACTTCGGCCCCACCCAAAACACCCAATAACTAAAAAACAGGCAAATTCAGACAGAAATCAAGGGCAGAACCAATCAAAACACAAAAATATATTAGAAAAACATAGTTTTGACTTTCTAACAGAGTTCTGTGCACCAATACAAATTTACCAACTCATGATTTCCGGCAGAAATGAATATAAAATTCGTTCGAAACTCATCAAATATCAGAAAAACATTTTTAATATCCAAAGACAGGTACATAAATAAAAATTTACCAATATCCATTTTTTAACACATTTGCACAAACTACAACAATGTGCGCTATAAAATAAGTGAAAAGCAGGCGTTTTTATAATTGCTTTCAATCAATTTCTGCCACGTGTTAGTCCATATTAATAACTCTTATTTTTAGGATTATACCCCACATTTTCCCTCTACTTCAAAGACCTGTCCACTTTAAACAAGTACTGTAATTTTATTAAAATACTCGATAAATATTAATTTATGACAAAAATGCCATAGAAGAAAAGTGCCTTTGAATAGTTTGAACCATGCGAAAAATGTGTTTTTAATTAAGAAATTGAGTTGGGCCCACTTCAGCAAATTTACCATTTTATTGATTAAAATACTGGAAAAGGTTAAATTTCCGATGGAAGCGTTAAGAAGAAAAGTGTCTAACCTGGGTAGAATTGTCTAACTACTGATTCCAAAACTTAACTTAAAATCCTAAAATTCGCTGGATGACCGAATCGATAATTTTACCACCCCTTCCTCCTACTTAGCTAAATTTGTTTTGAAACAAGGTATTTTTGCATTAGTTCACACAACGTCTATTATCATATTCGAAAAAGACATCTAATTTTAAGATAATTCTCGTCTATTACATTACCGTCGCAAGCGTATAATAACAGAGATAGCGCAAGCCAGATATTTCTCTATTTTCTTCCATTAATCTTCCGCCATTATCGTCTACCTGACCTCCCAGTCTGCGTGTTCCCTTCATAAATCGTGATGCGCATGCGTTCCCGTACATGTCACGCGGCCAATCAATAATCTTTTTTTGCCACTAATTAATATTTGTGGTTCAATTTGCAGTATTTTTTTGTTTCAATCAGATTTGAATTTTATTTTGGGTCTCATATTTCGAAATTCAAAGTCATTTCCGACCATTGAAGTCTGCGATGGTGTCACTTCAATTATATGAAGTTGATTGCGCTTTTTGGAGAAAAAAAAAAACGAACAAGCTATAGCAATTTTTTAGATCTCATGGTGTTCTCCTGACCTCAGTACAGTGACCCCTCGTTTAACGAACACCTCGGTTAACGTAATTTCGATTAACGAACTGCCTTCCATAAGGATCTTCAATTCGTTTAACGAAAAAAATTTCGCTTAACGAACTTCTTACGAACCGACCTCAACATGTTTTCGCTTGCACTG